AATATTAATATATGCAAATACCACTCATCTCCTAAATATAAAAGCTAACTACTAGTCCTACTTGATCACATGTCAAAGAAGATAGTGGAGCATTCCTTGCGCATGAGCTTGACATGTCGAATTATCCGGAAGAAGCAAGATCCTACTTTGATCCTATTTCTCTCAAACGATCTGAGATATTTTGATAGTCGATAATTATTTTGAGCAGTTTACCACAAGGTCACTCAAACAAAATGATATATGTGAAATTGCATATAGACCTAATTAAAAGAAGCGACCACCGCAAAGAGGCATATGAAAACTATGCTGATTAACACCAAAACAATTTTGGAATCGAATGAACACAAACCAAATTGATTTGAGGTTTCATCATGTGATCGGATTACAGGGGAGTTGGTACCTCGAGGCTGGCCTCGGACTGGAGGGCGACGAGGGCGTGGGAATCCGGCGGACTCGACGAAGGCGACGACGGAGGCGACCACCGCGGCCCTCGCGCTGGGGGCGGGGGCAGCAACGCGGCTGGGCCACCGTCAAATCTGAGAGCTTTCTATGAACACTCAACAAATGATAAAGTAATGAGAACCTGAAGGATGCTGAGCTACTGCCAAAGAAGACTACTCACTTAAAAGGCAAGTAAAAAAAACAAAAGGGAAACTAGCAGATTACTCTCTAAACAAAGGCAAAGTGACAACATGTATCACTACTTACAAGAGAGTACATTAAGCAGTAATAGCACAAAGGGCTCCCTCTTAACAATCTACCACTATAGGTCTAACACATCAAAATCGGTGAATGGATATTGACATGCAGAGAGATCCTCCACTTCTGAATCCAAACCTCAGTTCACAAACCAGGACCACTCATCTCATCTACAACGCTAGACATGGATTCATCATAAACAGAAAACTATACATAGTAGTCTAATCTACATAATGATTTATCAGAAACAGAAAACTATACATAGTAGTCTAATCTATGTAATGAGCACGAATCAGCAGGCAGACATTGAGTAGAGTGCAGTACTGCAGTGTTATATATGTACTTTAATTCTGCATTACTCAACTCTATAAATCCAACTGCTTTATTTTTTGGTAATGGTACTACACACATTCGTACTTTAGTTTTGATGATATTATTATTTTTTCAGTTAGTAGGTTAGATTTCATCACGGTCATCAGGAGTTGCTCACTGGTGCTTATTGCAAATGGGCATCACTTGTTCTTTAATTGCCTTTATCTTACCTTAACATGGCTACAACCTACAAGTAACTCTGAGCATAATTAACCGAAGACCGAAGACCGAACCGAAAAGACCGAGACCGAGACCGAAAAGACTGAGACCGAAAAGTTCGGTCATGAGTTCGGTCCTGGCTCCCAACTAACCGAAGTAACCGATAGAAGTTCGGTCATATGTGTCGGTTAACCGAAGTGACCGAACTGACCGTAGTTCTGTAGACTTCGATCGTAATGTCATTATGTGTGATTGTGATTTTTGAGAACTGAGAAAGTTGTGTGCTAGAACTTGTCATAATAATGTGTGGTTTGTTTTATATATTGTGTTGTTATTTTTTTGCCTTCAAATAGCAAGCATCTTTGTTGAAAATTGCTATAGATTACGCTATTGTTTGTGGCTGCTACTCAGGTCCGGTTAGTTCGGTCGTGACCGAGACCGAACCGAACTAACCGAGACCGAACTTCCTCGGTCTTCGTTTTTTGCAAAGATCGATCGGTCCCAGGTTTCTGATAACCGAACTGACCGAATGACCGAGGAACCGAACCGATCGGTTCGGTCTGACCGAATGCCCAGGGTGACCTACAAGCATTCTCATGTCAGTAAGGTGTACATCACACTGAAATTAACATAAGAGCACTTTGATTTAGGGGATTAACTAGAGCACTTAGATGAATATAAAAGAATTCAGTAAGTACCTGAATGGTTTCAGACTAGCACTTAAATTAACATAAAATCGAGTTTATTTATGTCTTTCATATCACTACACAGTCTATAACTTAGTTCATTTATATGCCTTCACTAAAACATTTTTTAGAAGAAATGAATGGTTTTGGATAGCGAATTTGTTTCAATAAATTAGGGAATATTGTAGTTTTCTGGAGAGGTCTAGCTTGAATAAACTGGTGTGAATTTGAGAGGATCATATAGGAGACTTGGTAGGCTGCTCTCCAAAATGCATTGTTCTGGCACAGAAAATTATGTTCTTTTTAGCTATATCATGTTCCCCTCAAAATATATGATTTCGTGATTTTGCGCCCGTTGCAACACACGGGCATGATCTTAGTAACAAGAAAAAAATAAAAATGGATAGTGATTAATGCTACTCTACCTATTAACCAAGATAAAAGAATAATGCAGAATAGTGAACAAACTTAGAGTTGGGTATTCCATGTTAAAAAAAAAGACTAATCCATAGATTCAAAATAAGGCATAAATTGTTCGCATCATGCATGAAACAAACTTATATGAAGAAATTAAAAAAATACTTAATCTACATGATAACAAGAAAGATATATGAACACTATTAACTACAAATCACTAGCAATTAGGAAAAATGCTGTAAATCATAATTCAGAAATCACATTGACACATTCACATTCCAAAATCCGGTGCTTTTGGCCAGGTCAGTGAGCCGCACACTTACAACGCCTAGGCGTCCGGTGTCCTGGCTGGTGTCTATTGACGGTGCAGCGCTCCATCCCTCCCCCGGCCGGCCGGCCCTAGTACCTAGGGCCTAGGCCCGTCCTGCCGCCATCCAGATGCGAGCAAGGGATCAGTCACCCAGGAGTCCAGGATCCCCGCCGCCGCCTGAACAAATCGGATTGGAGAAGAGAAGCGTCAGGAGGGGAGGGTAACGGGATTGGGAATTTGCCGAACTGGGAAAGGGAGCACGGGAGTGTCCATGCGTGGCAAATGGTGATCCCATCGCCTTAAACTAGCAGATTGGATTACTGCTATTGAGATCCAAAATAAGACAAAGATCCAAACCTCTTGCAATAAGAACTCGGGATGCCGGAACGCGGACGATCGATAAGCGGTCAAGGGGTCGCAGACGGACGGGCGAAAGCGACGTGATGGTCGCTAGGGTAAGAGCAGGCGGCAAGGCGGGCGATGGCGGTAAAGTGGCGCCAGCGTCTTGAGCGCGGGGCGGCGGTGGCGGCTTTGGTGAACGTGATAAAGCGCGCGCAGTGTATGCGGGCGTCGGGCGATGCCGAGTGCGAGGGCGAGTCGGGACGATGGCATCGGGCGCGGCGAGTAGTGATAGGCACGTGAAATGACCAACATACCCTTTAAGATGATAATTAATATTTTATGGAGGCAATGGGAGGCAACGCGAGTCAATTTCAAGTACTGTAAAAGGGCTCTTATCTATATATTTGTTCAATTTCAGACACTAGCCGAGAATGCACTTAAATTACTTTGTTTTTACGGAGGTAGCATATTTATAGGAATGAAAGTATGTACGTATGTATACACACTCGAGCGTCTATATCCTCACTCGGATAGAAATACGGATTGTTAACCGTAGGACTGTAGAAAGAGAGGTGATACTACAGAAGTGATTTCCGGATTCCGAATCTCGTTGTCCTCTCCGGCTCTCCCCTTTCTTCCACCGGTCTCCTCTCCCTTACATTCTCCACTGCGATGCTAGGCTGCCCGCGCTCGCAGCACTGCAGCAAGGAGCGCCCCGCGCATTTGGGTTCAGCATCCTGCCAGTTCGTGCAGCTGGACTGCTAGAGTCCAGGCGCCAGCGCGGAGGCCGTCCATGCGAGCCGCTCGTGCCTCCGAACGGCCGGCACTTTTGAAGCCAGGAGGCCCCTCCTTCGATTCACGGTGAGCCGCCACTGGTGTTTCTTTCACAATTTTTTGGTGCATGCACAAATGCGCCTAAGAACAATTGAACAACTCCGCGAGCTTGTGATACAACCTTCATACTTTGGACTGTGCACCTGGTATTTCAGTTTTGCTTACCTAGCAGAACCGTGTGGTTGTAATTCGTGGAATTTTGTGCACCATGTCATGCTAATCAGCTAATGATTATAATTTCCGTCATCATGGGTTCCAGGATGCATCTTGGATTTTTCTTGGTAAAATACCAGTGCCAACCTAAACTTTCTTCAGTTCTTGTGCAAGTTAATCGGTCTGAATGTACAGACCTTGTGATAGCGATTATTCAGGAATCATAACAAGCAACTGCTCTAACGATTGCAAAACATACATGCGAAAACAAAAATATATTATGATGGTTATCTTGTAGCTGTGTCGTGTAACTCTATTCCTCTTAATGAAACACGGGCTATAACCCCGATTGTGAAAAAAACAAAAATATACAGTTGAACCCACGAGAACAAGAAATAAAAAAGCCTCGTGTTACAATATGATTGTCTTTGAAGTCCTATAAGCAATGGCCTAAACAGTTACCCATATTGTTGAATGATCTGGATAGATGGGATGTGTTCGACCCTAACAAAATCTTCACTAAGTTCTCCCAATCTATCAGTAAACGAGCTTGGCATGCCCAGCAATCTCAGTCTCTGCAATGTAGCAAGAGACTGCAACCCAGTAGGAACTGTCGCTAGATTTTCACATGACATGATCCACACTTCCAGGACACAGGGCATGGCTCCTTCATCGACATCCCATTCCTCCAGCTCCTCAAGTTCAGTTATGATAAATATTTTCAGGTTTGGAAAGCCTGGACAGCAGCATCTCATCGCTTTTCCCTGGTATGCTTTGTTCAGCTGGAGGAATAGCAGATTTGGCAATTGAGCGAGAACTGAAAGTGGATCTTCTTCCAGTTTTGAGAAGCTCAAGCGTAGCTTTGTAAGCTTATCTAACTGAGTGAACCAATCTGGCAATTTCTGTAATGGTCCAGCTATGTGCAGCTTCTGTAGACATGATGAAGGCTTCAATGTTGCAATGTCAAGAGGTCTGATGCCATCACCTGAGAAGATGGATAGGTATGATAGTTCTTTCATATTGTTTACTCAAGAACACAGTTTTTCTGCATCTTCATTGTTTAAGTCCTCTACAGCAAGCTTTTGAAGCTTAGTAAGGCTTGCAATCTCATGAACAACAGTTGCACTTGCTTGCAAACCAGTTAATACTTGGAGTTCACCAAGCTGGGAAAGTCCTGTCAGGGCCTTGATGCTTTTGCCATCTTGCTTCATCTCTAGGTTTCTTAAATTCCTCAAACACTTGATTTGAAATGCAATTATACTTATCCAAGTCTTCCTGATATCAAGAGTTTGCAAGTGATAGAGTCTCTGCAGTGTTCTTGGGAGCTTCTTCAATTGTGTTCCTCTTAGCCCAAGATACCTCAAGTGTAGTAGTCCTCCTATCTCTTTTGGAAGTTTTAGCACATTGGCATTTTCTAAATCCAAAATTCTTACCAGTTTAAATCTCTTTGCAACAATGTTGCTTTTCAATCCAACAGGTGCACTACCACTGAACATGAAAACAGATCGCATTTTTTTCTTGTGTTCTTTGTGGAATTGCACATGAGATGTCTGTAATGAGATGCGCCGAGCACTAGTGCTTGCACCTTTATCATGACAAATGACAGAAAAGTTTCCATTTTCAGATAGTGAGACGGCAAGATCGTGAAGGAGATAATGAATTCTGCATGCTTTTACTCTCCCGCTGCTGCTAACGACCGACGCTTCTATCATGCTTCTGTTAATGAGCTCCATGAGGTACTTCTCTGCGGTTGTTTCAAGTGTCTCATTATTTTTCTTTTTCACAAACCCTTCAGCAATCCATAGTCGAACTAGTTTCTTTCGTGAGATCTCTGAGTCGTATGGAATGACAGAAAGCAGCAGAAAACATGGCTTCAAAGGGTGTGGAAGATCCTTGTAGCTTAAAAAGAGTGCTTGGTTGACTCCCATTTCACTGTTGCTTAAGTCCTTCTGAATACTCTCCAAGACACGTCCATTCGGTGTCTGTTTTTTTCTTCCTTGACATCATGCTCCCTGCAGGAACTATAGCAAGGGGCAAACCAACACACTTCCTCACAATGTCCTTAGCGGTCTCTGTCATGTCATCAGGGCATACCCCATCTGCCAAGAATGCCTTTCTACAAAACAAATTGTAGGAATTTTCAAATGTCATTGGCTGAAGTCGATGGACATCACTTCTCGCATCAATAACTGACTCAGCCACGACAACGTTACGCGTTGTCACAAGGACCCGGCTCCTGCCATTCTTAGGCAATACCAGCTTGATCACATCCCAGAGCCCTTTCTCCCAGACATCATCAAGCACAAGCAAAAACCGCATACCTCTGAGGCCACTCAAGAGCAGTTCTTGGAGTTGCCCCTCACTGAGAGAGTTTGCCTCGGCAGAGGGGATCCTCACCAGCCCCCTGGCCATCTCACGAAGGACACCTCGCAGCTCCATCTTATTTGAAACATAGACCCATGAACTGCAATCGAAGCGCCTCTTCACATCTGGGTGGTTGTACACCTTCTTGGCAAGCGTGGTCTTCCCAACACCACCCATGCCAACCAAGGACATGACGCTTAGCTCTGATTCCTCACCCAAAATATATCTAGGTCTACAGTGTCTTTGTCATGAACTAGGGGAGACGAGGCTAAGAGACCAAATGATCTTATCACTGGAGTCTGCTGGGTTGTTGGTCAGGTTTGGGTACTCAAACCGCCGGCGAGAGATGTCGCTCAGCTGCTTCTTGATGCGCCTGACCCGAGCCTCTACTTTGCTCCATGCTCTCAAGTTACCGAGGATGCTGCAAGCACGCACCTGATTAGCATCCAAGACATCGAAGACGTCCTCCGAATAAGCATGATGTCCCTCATCTGGTGGACCCATGCTTCTGTGGTCGCGCTGCCATCGCCGCTGCACGTCTCCACCTCGTGCAGGAAAAGCTGCATGCTGTGGAGCTCGCCGTGGAGCCAGCAGACATCCTGGCCTGAGAGTAGAACGGTGGTCATGGAGTATCTCACCGCTAAGGAAATGACAAAAAGATGAAGAAGATCCAAAGCACATTGAGGTGTAGAACAAACATAGCACCGTGAGTTAGAACAAAGGCTGAGATCATTAGATCTAAATCCATCACAAAAATCGAGTGTCTGATGGAGGTACTTTAATAATAATTAGATCTGAACCATCACAAAAAATCAAGGACCCAAATACAATACAAATAATGATCAATGAGTGAGCGTCAACACAAGAATTTTTTGCCTTGCTCCAAATTTTCATGGCGTTGGTTGGACTTGGTAAAACTCGGGGTTGTTGCAACACTAGGAGAAAATGGCAATCGCAAATCAAAACTTACTTTCTGCAAAACATAAATCATCTATTGCAGCATTAGGAAACCATCTGTTGCAATACCCCAAATGGTCTCATGCAACACGGAGAAACAATAAACACAACTTCATAAATCAGATGCAACAACATTGCCTGCCATATGGGTTTGGATGTACAATAGCTAGGGGATGAGTTCAAGGGCGAAGGTTGCAGCTCCAACTGAATGCCCCGGCCCATAACCATCGAGCTCACCGTAGGGAGGAGCAAGAAGGTCATCACATTCTGTGTCCACTCCCAGCATGGACGAGCCCACACAGCCATACCTGCCGTGGTTGCAGCGACAGTCTTTGGACTTTTCCATGAGCGGCGACGGGAGCATGACCCCCGCAGGAGACAGGGGAGCCAATGGTGGCTGCGCTCGAAGGATTTGGGAGCAAGCCGACGACGGAGGAAGCAAGATTGACAGATTTCGTTGTGGGCAAGAAGGAAGTGCCGGAAGAAAAAAGAGATATTGGAGAGAGAAGAGAGAGCTGGGAATCACCGAGTGAGGCGTAAGATATTTTTTTTTCTTCAAGCGCGCAGTGGATGATAATGTGGATAGCGTGAGGCCACATAGTATTAGTGATGTTCTACGGTTGTACAGTAGACAGACTCAAGAATTATTGTTTCCTTAATTATTGGGATAAAGAAACAGATGCTTGTTTCACTTTGCTGTCCATTTTATCCCTTTTGTGTAACAAACTCCTGGTTTGAATACACTTGTTAGCTTTCTAGTAACGAAGAAGAACGCCAGAGCTTTATTAGTGTCAATAGGCGCGCTTGATTACTGTGGGTGCGCGCCGGTGAGCACAATGAAAGTTTTCCATGAAGCAAGAGCTCATTCTTTCATTCCTGCTAAAATACAAATTCGCTCATCGTTTCAGTGAAACGGATTTCATCCATTCTTCTGTGTCAAAAATATACACTAGTCCGTGGCGCACGCCCTCGCGCACGTCGGCGAATCACCGGGTTAAGGCGCAGATCGTGGCATTTCCTGTGCGTGGTAATCATAGACATGGCATTTCCAGATCATACACATATCTGAATTTCGCACTGGGATACTATTATGAAATTCTAAAATCTTAGAGAGTAACAATGCTCATACATTTAAGCAAATTTGAGTTCCATTCCAAAGGAAAACAAATCATAGTAGTGCAAAACATAGAAAATAAAAACTCTACTTCAACCCAAAGGAAAGAATCTTTGCTCTCTCTCTTGCTATGCTTGCTCTGATTCCTGTACCTTCTTCTCACCATTCCAAACATCTCAAAGTATCAATTCCTGTGTTTTAGGATATATAGTTTTTCACTGTCCACTGTATTCTATTTCAGTTTTTTTTCCAAGTCCTCTATTTTGCATTCCTTTGTTGCAGTCAAGCCCTTGCTGTCAGCAAAGAATTGTTAGATAGTTGACACAGATGTAGTCGATATAGATGTACATAGCTTCTCAGGCGTCTCTTGTCCTTCCCAGCAGCATGTGCCTCACTCACTCCTTCGATGGTTGTGGCACCTTCATTTCCCACCTCAGCAATGACAGGGTTAGTGCTACTGACAGTATAGTGTCCCAATAACACTGTGCGAGTGGCAATCAAATTAGGCAACTGCCATAAAAAACAACCAGTAAATATCAATTGCAACTGCATTTATGTTTTTTTCCAAAAAAAATATCTACATGGGGTTCATAATACATGGTGGTCACTTTGGCCAGCATGTAAGATAGAGAAGGCATTACCATCATATAATGAAAACATCACACTCAATTGAAGAAAGAAACCTAGGCAATAGTTAAAGGAGGAAGCAGTAGACAACCTGGGGCTACTCCAAAAATGGCGCCGGTCATGAACAGATAAAGGGAGTTGGCAATAAATTCCAGTAATTCAGCCCTACTGGTATCGCTAAATTCATAACAGAAGTTCTTATACTTAAAAAATGGCAAAAAAAGGAAAGGAAAAAGGTTTGGCATGTTGCTAAAGCACATTCATTCTGTATTTTGTTATTTTAATGTACACTTGTATATTTTCGTATATTAAGGATCTTATTATGGATCTGTTACATTTTACTTCATGGAGGTCTAAATCTGAAAAACTATCACATGACCTTTAGTTGTTAGGAGCATTCATGCATGTATCCTATGAATATGCTGCTAGGACATGTACCTTTGCAATCAATGTAGGCCGCACGAACATATAGCAGCACATTGCAGAGAAGGTTGACGAAATCGGCCATGCAGGATTCAGTACATGCGGCCAATAGATGTAGACACAGAGAACATTGACAGATAAGAAGGCTGTCATTGCATCTTTGACACCACCGCATGCGCCACCACCACCAACCTCCTCACCACCATGGCCAGGTCTTCTTGTTGCCTGTTGCTGTCACAGAACTGCAGTGAGCTTACTCTATTTTAGATTATAGAATTATGCATGCATGCTAAAGGACATAAATGTGATAACAATATCTGTACGAAGCCAAGGGTGCTATACAGGTATTCCATAGTGGTGCACATCTCTGGGATATGGTAATATATTGATAAAAGATTGGGGTATTTATGGGACTCTGTCAGTGTCATGCTATTGAGAACTAAAAACCAAAAAAGTTAGTCAAACTAAATCTGTGAAGCGAATAGCAAGTTATTGTTATACAGGTAATAAATGTTTCTTTCGTTTTACAAATTTTAATGTGGATAGAAACTAAGCACAGTTGTCCCCAGCTAGACATCTCCTGTATATAGCAAAGACAATGTATTTGATAAAAGAAAAGGCGAATGTATGAAATCCTCTCTCAGCAAACATTTATTTAAGAATTAAAACCAAAACACAAAATAATACAATTTTTATTTTAGGAATGCACAACTATAGCAGACTGCACATTTCCTACATATGCTAATTCTATAAAGGTCACCAGCAAAATGGGAGTGCAGGAAGAGCCCAAGGAGCCAGAGGATTCTTGGAGCAGACTCATGTTCGGCACACTAAAACCTGTTATGTCAGACCTTTCATTTCCACTGAACTAATTGTCACCACCGCTACTATCACTGAATTAATGGGTTAACTATATATGAAAATGTCAACTATCACTCTACTAATTCTCATTATATAGCACATAAATGGCATTTCCTCTCACTGAACTAATAAATCCATTTTAAATCAATTTATCCCTCAAGATAAGGCTTAGGGCCGGCCTTACCTCGTGATTAGAAGAGGGCGAAGGCAATTAGCGATGCGCTTCTTGAGCATGTGCACAAGCTTGATAATGGGTTAGGCATAAAACTGGCATGGGATACACATTCCCTCAAACTGGCTTGTGTATGTGGATTATTAGGCAGATAGATTAAGCCTGACAAATAGGTTATGTAGAGATATAGGTGACCAAGTAATACTTGGAACGTGATGTTATGCGTATAATCAGTAAGCTAAGGTGATAACAGCTATTCCATAATTATGAACCATACTTTCAGAAACAATCATGCAAGGTAAGAGTCCATGTAGGTTCTTGTTAATAGAACACATGTGAACAAAAAAAAAACAGCAAGAGCTGCATAGGAATTCACCAGGTTCCTATCCTGTGATATCCACGATTTTGTGTTGAACACCAACAGCGGAGCAACCCTTAACCTACAGATAATGTGAGTGAAGGGAAGACAATGATATGATAAACAAGGAATGGAAAAATAATAAAAGTTCCCTACAGAACTCACCCAAATGCCGCATGATGGGTTTAGACTATTTCTGCCAGCAGCACCCGCAACAGGCTAGCCAACCTATGTGGGGAATTTTTTTCTTTAGTCAATCAGCAAAGTACCGAAGGGCAGAGCAGAAAAAAGAAAATATGGAAAATAGATGTTAAAATGCAGAAATAATAATAAATCAAAGGAACATAAATAAGAGACTGTAGATATGTTGTTCCTTTAAATCAGCTCAATTTCACATAAATAAAGTAACTCAAGGACACAAAGGCATAAACATCACTACTACGCATACACTGCAAAATCCGAATTCCAAACCTCAGTGGTGTAGTAGTTTCATCCTTTTTACTAAAAAAAAAAAAGTTTCATATTGTTTAACTGAAAACAAGATCTTAGTGTCCAGCAATATTTTAATTTGTTCACACCCACATGCAACCAGGTTTTCTGAGATAACAGGAACTAATGTCACTTTTCTGAGAAGCCATGTTTTGTACCGACCACATCAACTTTAAAGCCATGTCAACTTCTTCCTATGTCAGTTTTTTGAGAATGCACGAGAGATGCCTTCAATGATTTTGTCTAAAATGTTTCTCTATTATGCGACACTAAAGGGTCGCTCTGCAAAGTATATATGGCACATTACAAAAGGTAGATGGAATGGTATAATCTTGTCAGTTTAGATATTTATGAAAATTATATGAGGCTGATCATGTTGTAATAGTCCTCAAAAGAACTTTTTGTGATATAATACTGGAAGGACTATTATATTGAGCAAAAAAAACGTTCTTTGTGCACCAAGAAATTTCAATGGCCAATGAACACATTATAGTTCACAGTAAATGCTGGCGGGCATGAGCTGCGCTGTGTGACCTCCCATGTCAAATACATAAAAGAAACTAAAGATCTACAACTAAAAAGTTGATTTTAAAATTGTTTAGTATCTGGTATCCAGCATGAGCACCAAATGCTTAAAAGGCTGATGAACATGTGTGACAGGCCACATGCTGTTTAGCACAAGAGAAATAGGAGGAAGGCGTATATATTGATTGGCACAGATATGTATAAGGCGGACAAAATGATGTTTATGAGTTATGACGCACAAAAATCATCATAGAGATAACCACCCTTGCGGCTCCGTCTCTATTATCTGGATGCCTCGTACTAAGCCATGAGTAGAGGTGAGACCAATCCAATTAGTAGGCAGTAATCTAGTGGTTGAGGGAAATAAACAGGCATTTCATCTAACACCAAACCCCTGGCCATCTACATGACCCCAATAAAACCATCACGGACGAGAGATGTAAAATAGCGCACCTGAAGCTAGAGGAGTCGGAGCCAGTGGCTATAGCAGTGCAAACAGACAATTTCACAAAGAGCGAGTGGGGAGCAGCAGAGTAGCACCGCCCTTGCTAAACCTACAGAAGCAGGGCAAGAGACCTTTTCCAAGATTCACATATAGCCTTTTTTGGTTTCTGTGCAAAATAGGAACAGAAATGTTTATGAGCATTGGGGTAACTATCATATTAGTTTGCAGTGACCCAGGGCTGGTAAAAGTTTAGGTATAGATAAATTGTTGTTACATAATTCTAGGCACTATGCTGAGGTGTAAAATAGAGATTAGAAGAGAACCTGTCACTACGAAGGAATCTCAAGTAGGCATGTATTGTAAAGATAATATAATGAGAGGGCGTACATTTTTGTTAACTAATAATGTAAAGATGATACATATGGGATGTATGCAGACAAGGAAAACAGCACAATGAAAAAATGTTGAAGATAGTTTTGCAAATGGTTGTGCAAAACAACACCTTTTAAAAAAATAGAAGCATTCCGATCTTTTGATGTTAAACAGTGACGACAATTACCATTCGACGATGTCAATGGACAATAGAATTGATGGAGAGAGAATTTATATATAGATTCATAATTTAAACCAACATGGCTGTGCATTCTCATTGGTGTCTCATTGTTGCCATCCTACTGAATCAATGAAAGGGTCTAGCTGAAATAGACTTCACTAAATTGATATATGGAAAATCAACATCCACACTGGCGCCAACAATAACACCGAAGAATGCAAAAACACAAGAGGTACCATAGACAAAAATCTAGAGGTATATTTGCATGTATATGGATACGGTTTCATTATAACGCTGAGTCAGATTACCGCCTTTTTTACTTGTAGTACCCCTGTCAAAGGAGGAGATATTATGGTTTCAAGGTTAGAGCGCAGTGGCATGATAGAAAAAGGATGCCACAAAAATTTTAGGAAAACAGCACAAATGATGGCACCTTCCTTTCCCCAATATGTGCAAACAACTGGTACGTGGTAGCAAGATGTAGAATAATTACCTTACAAGATTGACATGTATAGATGATTGCAGGATCACCGATAGCAAAGGCAAGTAGAGTTGTGCCTAATACGAAGCATTAAACTACAAATCAGCCACTGTTATGGAAGGGGAACAAAATATCTCATACGTCAATTTTTTTTACTAAGACTATTCTATTCTCGCACTTTAATTTTGCAAAACAAAAGAGACATGTTGTAAGCATCAGCAAAGCGAGCATGGCAAGATAACACATGGTAATATGATCATCAATCTATAACATAATACCTGCCTGGTCTCAAAATCCTACACTAACAAATCAAACAAATATCTCAGACATGGTCATGTGCTCAGGTCTATTGCATAATACCTGCCTGCTCTCAAAATCCAGTGGAACCCGGCAGAACATATGAACATAGGTACGCACTAAGCACAACACGAAGAATTGTAGGAAAGGCTGGTTGATGGCTTAATCACCGCGAAACACCTCACGGCCACTGCACCAGCAGAAGGGAAAATTAGCGCCAACAGATTCCAACATGGTATGACAAAAAAAAAACCTACTCGGTGAGGGCATACAAACACACCTGCGATCTCTGAACTATGAAAGTAGGCAAATAGTAGGAGCATAGCAACACAACGGTGATTTCTGAACTTTGAAAGTAGACCAACAGTAGAGTTTTTCCAATGGACAAAACAAGGTTGGCACCATCACAATCAAACGGGCTACTACTATAATGAGATCTGGTTTTTACCGGCCTGAAAAATCACAGTCAAATGGAAGCGATGCATGAATAAAATGTAAAGTAAAAGGGACCAAAAAAGATTCTCACCCGAACAGCAGATCAACAGATCGGTTAGCAGCTGCTGGTGACTAAATCACTATAAAATACCACCTCGCCAGTGCAAAAAAAAATCAGGAAAAAATTAGTTTGTAGTAACTGCACAGGCGTTATATAGTTTGCAGAATTTTCTTAAAAAAAGAGAGAAATGCATGACAACTTACCAACATAGGAAGTACCTGCAATTGCGTTGTACATATGGAGGCTGAGAAGTGAATAAAAAGTTTTTGCAATACAAAGCAATTGTTAGCAATACAGAAAAATGCGGTGTGAGGAATTATATGAAACAATGTGCAGTGAAAACGTAAACAAAGTATATAAGTCTAATCTAAATCTAAAAATGAGAAAGATCTTTATTATGAAAGCCAA